AAAGTGAAACATTCAGAGAACAAAGAATTCTAGAAATGTGATACAGTAGAAATTTTAAAATTCAACTGAAAGTTTGGAAGATAAAGTTGAGGAAATCTTTAAGAAATGGAACAAAAGATAAAAAGATGGACAATAAGAGAAAAAGATAAGAAAGTATACTGATCTAGGAGACTGAGCATTTAGAAATTCAACATCCTAAAATGAGAGATTAGAGAAATTGTGGGGAGAAAATAATCAATGAAAGATTCAGGAAAATTTTGTGGAGGAAAGGATACATATTTAAAGATATGCTAATCACAGTGGATGAAAACAAATCTTATGACAAAATTTCAGAACATTGGAGAAAAGTTCCTAAAAGCTTCCTTATGAAAAGGAGTAAGAATATATGTAGATTTCTCAATAGCAACATTGGAAGCTATAGACAACCGAAATGATTTTCAACCTAAAATTCTATACCAAGCTAAATTACTATTTAAATGGGAAAGTAGAATAAAGACCTTTTCAGGTATACAAAAATCTCATTACATTTACTTCCCATGTAAAAGAAAGCTGCTGGAGGATATGTACTATCAAATTAGGGAATAATCAAGAAAGACAAAAATATAGAGCACAGAAAACAGAAGATCTAGTTCAGGGTGACTGTTCACCCAACTGAGAGTCATATGATTTGTTCAAATTGGAGCAGGCTTGGAAATGTATATCTAAGGGCAGTGCAGGATTCATTATCTGTATCTCCTTCTGGTGTGAACAAATGGACAGAGTTAAGGCCCATGGAATTTCAGTTTTATTATAAGATCCCTAATGGTGCTAGCAAATAGATAAGCCTGAAAATATACAGTAAAGACATATGCTTTTCACCTGAAGAGTCACCATGAAGACTGGTGCATTAATCATCCTAGCAAGAACCTTCTGATTTCCTTATAGCATGGTGTATAAGCAAACTATATCTGCTGGAATAAGGAGGAATACACACACACACATGCACACACACACACACAGTACAGTATGTCTAAGGTAAGATACTTTAGAAGCTGGATAACAGTGGTGTGACTAGGGAAAAAGAATGACAGAACTTCTTTTGTTGTTTTACCTCCTGTTCCTTTGGGTGTTTTGGATAAAAAATAGGGTAAAAAAGACGGAGAATGGGGATCAGTTGGGTGGTGATGTTCATATTCTTGGAAGGAGTAAATCAGGGCCTGAATGAGAAAAGAAGAGGTAGGTGCTAGAGCTGGGGGCACCTTGCATGGCCTAGTGATGACCAAAGGCAACAGGAGGGTGGGGTGGGCAGTGGATGCTGAGGGAAATGTCACAGGGCAGGTGTCAGAGATGTCTCTGTTTCCAAGCCCGGGTTAACAGAGGCGAGGACACTGACTGGAGGAAACTGGCATTAGAATTGTGGGGGAGAAGGTGCACTGCAAAAGAAAAATAAGTGACAGGGGAGGAGGGGAAGCAGTTGGCGGCAGCAAATAAATTCCATCTTTCCTCTGACTGGAATCCCATTTTCACTGGTCTTATCATGTGCCTTATTAGCCACAGCTTATGACCTCATCAGATGATAGAATGGTTTATGAAAAACTCAGTGACAACTCATGTGGGCTGAGGTACAAGATGTGGTGTAGACACACAATCAAACTGCTATCTCTTCTGTAGCTCCAGGGGATAGGAAATAAAGTGTGTGTGTGTGTGTGTGTGTGTGTGTGTGTGTGTGTTGCTTCACACAATGTCCCCCAGATCTGCTACCTTCCAAACTTAATGACACTGGGTAAATTACTCTGATGTCTCTGGGCTTAGGTTTTCTTCTCAGCAAAACAGACAGAATATCCCATTAACCTAAATCTCAGGGTCATTGTGAGGATTAAATGGGGGTAATGAGTTCAAAGGCCTAAAAGAGCACCTGTACGTGGCAAACATGCTGTAATGTGAGCTAGTACTGTTATTATATCCAGTGACCCCTTTCAACTCATTTTTTGCTTTCTTTCCTCCAAATTTGGAGCATGGCAGATTTTAAGAACTTAATATACAAAGGAGAGATAGTTTCACCAAAGGGCATGTTAATACTTCATTTGCTTTTAAAACAAATATTTTTTTTGAGGCAGTATCTTTGATGCCTGGGTCCATTGATGAAGAAGTTAGATATATCCCTGCCCTCATAGAATCTAGATAGTTTTCTTTTTCCAGAATCTTCCTGGCTTTTCTTACATGCTATATGTGTATACATATGTGTGCATTTATTTCATAATCAAGGTATTTTCAGGAATAGTTTCACATTAAGCTTTTGTTTAATGTACACACAAGCACATAATTTAAAAATTATACAGAAGGAAATGCTGCAAACTAAAAATTAAATATCCCTTCCTTATTCTGAATTTCCTAGTTGTTCTCAGAAACAACTGCTGTTCTTTTACTTGATATTTTATGTTTTATTAATGAGGTAAACATACAGGAGTATATAAGCCCCTGTTTTTTATATAATAGTTAAAAGGAAGGAAGAAGGGGGTTTAGGATGAGTCAGAGACTTCAAACCATAGAGATGATGAGGGAAAGGAAGTATATTAAGAGACCAGAGAGGAAAATCAGACTACAAGGCTTGGGCAGTACTGATAAAGTAGAGGCAGAAAATGTAGAGTTAAATATGTAATAAAACTTTATTGGGAACTGTTCCTTAAAAAACACAGAAGCAATCAGCCAGGTGCTAAGAGTCTAATGTTGTCAGAAGCAGGGTACAAAACAGATATATTTCAAGAATGACCCTGACTAGTACAGCAGTCTACAACCCTCCAGGGCCCTTTACATAAAATATAAAGAATGATTTTTGTGGCATGGGCCTCCTAAAGCTCTCTTTAGGTGTATTGAGGCTACTTCATCCCTTACTGATGCCACACTAAACTAGGCTTCCCAACTCATTTTTACTGGGCTATTTGCATCTTTCCTGTACCCAGTTTTCCCATTATTGCTTTAAACAGTTTTCTAGGCCAGCTTTGGGCCAACCTATACTCCCCTAGAACATCTGCAGGCTAAGCAAGCTTCAGGATGATCCACATTATGGTCTTTCTACTTCCACTTCAGCTCTTCCTCTCTGAACCACGAGGGGAAAAAGTCCTAAGCTCCCTTCTGGTCACGTCATCAGGATGGTAGTTCTATTCTCCAGCTCTGCTTCCAGCAAGATGAAACATAACAATAACTTCAGTATCATCTAAACCCCTTACCGGCCACCAAGGAGATTATTGTATAAGTCCATTTTGACAGACTGCCCATCTGAGCCTTCTTCCAAGACTTGTTAGAGCACTCAATGCACAGATCATTTATTTTATATATATCTCTGTTGATAAAAATCTGTCATTTTTTTTGAATATTTCAGTATCTTTCTTGGTTCTTGCATGGCTTTCTCAGGCAATCACCTGAGTTACTTTTTTTTTTTTTAACAGAAAAAAGTGTCAGTTGGAAAGTTAGAAGGAATAGGAAAAGATTCCAGCTCAGGTAGCTGGAGAGAGCACACTCTGATACAGGTTTTCAGACTGACCCACCCAAAATGGTGGGAGGCCAGCTTTCAAGGATTCACTGGTGGGATGGGGCCCTGTGGATCATTATCTCAGTCCCAGTGTACTGGAATCTTTATGACTGAGGAACACTTTCATTTCCAGCAAAGGATTGTCTCTGTTTATGGTAGTTTCAGTCATGCGGGGTGGCTCTGCCTTTCCTGGAATCCAGGAGATCACAGGTTTAGGACACGGGCTGGAGACTTCTAGGTGTAGCTGAATGTCCCGTAAACCTCTTATCTTGGAGTCTTGAAGGGGGATGAGATCCTGTAAATTCAGGGCTTGTCAACACTGTCTGGCGAGCTCTCCTACACAGATATTCTCAAAATGATCAATATACCCCTATGCAGAACTGAGAAGAGATCTGACCCATGTTTTATGCAATAAAAGATAAAAAAATGAAGGTCAAGCTTTGTTCTACTTTTAGTTACCTATCGGGCATATGTAGGCCCAAGTGAAGAGTCATGATTCAAACCAAAAATGGCTTTTAAAAAGTTGCTGAGTATTCCAGAAGAAAACACAAATCATACTTTTAATAACTAGCAGGCTAGGAGCCCAGAACTCCCCCATCCCTATGGTGGTTTCTGACTTTGTCATGACTGCATCATTCCCCACTGAGAGACTTTATCCTCCTTAATCTTAAGGAAGAAGAGTCAAAAGATCTGTCTCCTTCTCTTTTTTCCTTTTATATTATTAACTATTTTACTCCGTGGTTATAATTGGTCATTGGGTGTTTAAGACCAAGTAGGTAATCAAAATTAACTTCCTTTTACTGTTAAGGTTACACAAGGTTTCTCAGGGGTTATTTTGGGGCACAAAGGAAAAGCCTTTTGGTTCCCTCAGATCTTTACCAGTTGTGACCACGATCTTGCTTGACTATATGGCTTCCCTTGGAAGCATGGGGACATTTTTCTCCTTAGTGAACCTCCTTTTAGCACAATGCACATTGGTTGGCTCCTGTTCTCTGGGGTCTAACAATCCCCCTGCTTGGGAGATTGGGAGACTCACTGGAGTTGCAGGGTCCTTTCAGAGGGGTCCCATCATGCCCTGGGTGCTGGCTGACCTTAAAGGACAAGGGCCAAAATATTGGCTGTCCTCTTATCTCTTTTATCTTTCTTAGTTTTTGTCTCCAAACCTCTGTTGTTGAACACTCAGAAGGTCAGTTATACCAGTCTTAAGTCTAATTTTGTCAGATTTAGAGTTCTTTCAAGTAGAATGTATTTGCTTACAAATATATCTTTTAGGTGACTAATTTTGAAATGCACAATGTTTAGGCATATTTAATTATCTTAATACTATTAGGAACACAACCTAAAAGAAGTCTATCATTACAAACAATGTTGGTCATGGGGGATGGGGTGGGGGGGCCTGTACCTCATTGTGTTTTCCTCAAGCTCTAGAAGGCTTGTACACTTAGGGAAAACAAATGCATTTAATGTACAAAGAAGTCAATGGTAATTAGTATAACAGTTACATAAGAAATGTTTATATATCAACTTAGCCTTTTACTTTTAAGGTGAAATTTATAATTCATGGCTCAATAGTATAGATATAATTGTGTCATTCTTACATTTAACATATCTACAAAGTTTAACAATACTGACCAAAAAAACCAAAAACCAAACAAACAAAAAACAACAGAAGATAGCTTTAGATCTCTTACAAGCTTAGAAAATCATAAATAGACATAATATCTAATATACAAGTAAGTGCATTTCATTTATACAACAAAATGTTTATTTAGTTAAAGCCAATAGATGTACACCATATTTCACTTGGCAGAATTGTCCAAAAGGAAGGTTTTTTTTCTCACCTGAATAGTACCGAAATGTTACTATTACTGTTAATGTTGTTATTAACAGCAAAAGTGTTAAGTTTTACTGACCATTTTATATATTTAAAGTCCAGATGCAATGCATATTGCATAAAAAAGAGCACTTACTCATTATTGTGCACTTATCAAATTTATACATCTTTAGTTTTACAAACTTTGCATATTTATACAGCATATTTAGTCCTCAGATGTATACTTATCTAGTCTCAGATATAAACAGTGTCAAATATAAAACTGCCTCTGTGAAGCTTCAGCTTCCTTCATAATCAAAAGCTTAATAGGAAACAAAAGTCATTGTCTTGATAAAACATAAACCTTTGTTTCTTGGCCAGTTTTTGTAAATTTAGTAAAAGTAAGTTAACATTTTAAGAAAATATTCTTTTAAAAATAGAATTTGGTTTTGCATTAATGTTATAGATTTTGAGTTAAAAACTCTTTAAATGCTCTTTGAAATCACAGTCCACTTTATCGTACATACATATTTCCTCCCATAAATTTCATCCTCAATAGACTTTTTTGCAATATACATAAGCTTTCTGTTTTTGTTCTCATCTTTGTCTTTCCACTTCGTAGCACAAAACCTCACCGTATAAGATCTTTTCTTTCAAAAACTATTCTCTTATACATACATTTCATTACATCTCTCTTTTTGACTTACTGGTTTCATTCTTTAAATTCACCTTTAAAACCAATTTTACAAAGTTTCTGAATTTGGACAAATTACTCTGTTTCTTAATAAGATAAAATATATTCCTTTTAAATACAAACATAACTCCCCTTATTTATATAATTATACATTAGAATTTAACTTTTAATAAACTTACATTTAATGAAAAACCAAGAAGAAAGCAATCCTACACCCTTTATTTTTTACAAGTTATGAAAACACATTTAATAGACCCACATATACTTAGAAATTCTATTATAAGAACTTGTAAGCATTTATCCCATTCCTATTTAATATACCTATAAGATCCAAGGTATCAAAGCAACATAACTAACATTAAGTTATTTCTTTGTCTAAGAAAAGGCTAAAGTCATTGTACTTGAAATACAGAAAGCAATGAATACTGTATCTTAAATTTTAACAAAGATAAATATGCTACTTGGCCAACAATCTAGGTAAAACATTTTACCAACTTTAGCAATTCTTGAGTTTCAAAGAGGTCTCCTTTAACATATTTTGCATTTTAATCCAAGCTTTAATCCTTGCATTTTAGTCATGGCTATCTGGGATAACTAGCAACAACAACCCATTTTTCACTAAAGATGACAGAGAAGAAATCAGATTTAAGAAAAACAAGCAAACAAAAAACAAATAAACAAACAAAAAACCCCACCAGTGCACAGAACCAAAAGGGAAAAGAAATAAGCTAAAAATGTTAAAATGGAGCAGCTGTGGTAGTTACTTTAGGAACTTTAGAGCAATTTATTGTGCTGAATTCTGAATTAAGTTATGTCCAATACTGTTCTTAGAAGACAACTTGTTGGAGACTTGTCTCTTGGCTGTTGCAAGAGTCTTTGTTAGGGAAATGCTTTGGATCAGAGTGTGCTGCTTGTGGAGAATCCTTCCCAGAGTGTCAGCAATGAGCTGAATATTCCTTTATATGTGTCCCCAAAAGCCCCAAATGCTAACAGGTTTGGATTAATTCAAGATGCTGGGCAACCATCCCCTCATTTGGACTTTTCAGATGAGCTATGAGAGCTCCATCTAACCCAAGAATGAGATATATTCCTCTCAGATGGTTCCCTGTGAGACTGCTGCATGTCCTGGGATTGTTCACCCCTGGCACCTCCACTAAGATTCTTGTCACTTAGGGCCACACAAATGGGTCAGAGGGAGTATTTGTCTCTTTTCTTCCAAGTCTGGAGACCCTTATGTAGATAAATTGATGGAATTGTTGTTGCCCCATCAGATTTTTAGCGTTTATCAAGTCAGTTACCATTAACACAGACTAAGAAACAAAAGAACACGTAAGAAAATTATATTAATAATCATCACAAACATAGATTAACTGGCAGACAGACAAAAAAACATATAGAACACATAAAACAATTACATTAAATCAGAGTACACTTTAAGATGTATTAGTCATATGGTATTAGAAAAATAAATTTTTTTTCTAGTCATAGGTTTATAGCCGTAATTTAGAAAAATTACCTAGAATTTTCCCTAGAGGGTTACTGGTGGTACAGACATAAACTTCAATAGACATGTCTCATATACCCTGATTTCTTAACTTTTTTTTTTTTTTTTTTTTTTTGCACATGGGCCAGGCCAAGCCATAGTATTTACCTTGAGGGCTAGAGTGATGCAATCAGTCAGCCTTGATACTTTGGGTGATTAAGCCAGTTTCACTGTGGCCTAGTATGTGCTTCCTTTGATGTCTGCCAGGCAGCCCCCCAAAAATGTTGGTGGTCTTAACCTGTTCTCCCAGTGGGTGTCTAGGTGCCACTACAGAAGGCTCAAATAACAAGGCAAATTCCCTTCTCAAAACCAGATGACTGAAGTCCAGAGCCCCAAAAGTGCTCAAGGACAATCCATTGACATGACAATTTCTTCATCAAATCCAAATGTACTTAGCCCAGTATGCCAAAAGTTCTCAAATGACAAATGAGACAGCAAGGTCCAATGTCAGAAAGGTAGTTACCAGGGGTCAAAATCAGAGCCCCTGTCAAATTTTAGGATTTATTTTTCTATTCTATTAAACCGTAGTAGGAAACAACTAATGTTGGCCAAAGTGGACAGAAAATATCCTTGAATAAAAGTAATTTCAATAACTGCATGGGGCCATCCAATCTTTCCTCATCATCGGGGATCTAGGCTAGCTTGAGTGGTTAATGCCTAAAGGTGTGCTTTTTCCTGGTGCAGCTTACAAGACTTGTTACTGAAGTTTTAGGTAAAAGCTTCCGCTCCAGCAATCCCGAAAGATCAGGCTCTGCCACCTGTCCCATAAGGTCATAAAGGAGATTAGTATGGTAAAGGACAGGAAAGAAATTTAATCAGTCTTTGAGGGGCTGACTGAAGCTCTGAAGTTGGCAAAGATAAGGGTTGGAGTTTGGGATGGAGCTGAGAAAGGCGTCAGGCATAGAAGTTTGCAAAAGAGCAGGCATGAATGAATTGAGCCCACCTCCTCAAATCAGCCCAACTACACAGGCTGAGGAGCTACTAGATTTTTTTGTTTTTTGAAACAGGGTCTTGCTACTAAGCCCAGGCAATCCTCTTGTCTTGAACTCGAAGCAGTCTTCCTACCTCAGCCTCTCAAATGCTGGGATTAAGAAGCCACCACACCTGGCTAAGGAATTAGATTTCTAACCTGAGTGAAAGAGTAGGGGTTGACCTTTACTGACTCTGAGTGTAAAGGAAAAGGAGCAGGAGATTTTCACATGAATCATAGGATCGGATTTCCCCCCAGATAGTGGCATAGGACATAACCCAAGGGAAGAAAGTTATGAATCATAAGAATGGAGGGTGTTGTTCCCTGTCTGAGAAGTGTGAGTACAGAGGTGGAACAGAGCAGATAGCACCGAGAGAGGAAATCTAAGACATTTGGATGCCTTGCCCAATGAAAGATCTGTCTCTAATCCAGGGGATTTTAGAAAAAGAACCAGTGCCTTTCCAAACAAAAGACCAATGACTGAGACAACCAGCAACTAATCTGGACATCCAACTGGGGCCTGCAATTCCCAGTCAGTAAAAGTCTCCACAGAGTCCTTGGTGTCCCAGGGAAATTTAACATGGAGGGATCAGGGGAAGGAAAAAAGGATTAGAAGACTAACTGTGGGGCCGATTTTCCTGCTGGGGATTCATCCTTCCACAGGGGCCATTGTCAGCGAATTACCGAGTCAAGGCAAATTCTGAGAGCCCCATGTTCAGGCACTAAATCTGTCCCTAGCTAACATAGGTCTTTGCTTTAGTAGAAATGGAAATTAAAACTAAAGCACAAATTTATAGGAAAAAAGCTTTAATTGGAAGGTTAGAGGGAAGATAGGAAAGGACTTCGGTTTAGGTAACTGGAAGGGGAACACTCTGATACAGGGGTCCAGACTGCCTAGCTCAGAGCCCAGATTTCAAGGATTAGCTAGTGGGCTGGGGTACCATTGATCATTGCAGTCAGTCGCCTCAGTCATTTTTATCAAGAGGAGAACTAGGACTCAAAAGCGACAACAGCTTCCTGCTTTCTCTAGTGCACTCCACCAAGCCTTGCTCATCACTTCTGAGGAGGTTCATCCGCTCAATGTCTGCAACAACCCAGGGAGATGTGGCTCTGGGATCTAGGGCTGGTTCTACCTCCCTGTCCTGATTCCCCAAATTCAGGTTCCTTTGCTCACTATGTCCTGGACAATAACTAGGTCATCATACTCTTTATTGGTCCTGGCAGAGGGATAAGCATTCCTCAGAAGGGGTAGGTTTTTCTTTACAGCACAGTAACTGCATTATCATAGTATATGCTTTTTTAAAAAAGTACTTTTATTCTTTTAATAGATTAGTTTAGACTTTTGTGGACATGACAAGTACTTTGTAGTTAAACTGTTATAATATTACACTGTGCATTTAAACATTTTTGGTATGTTTTCATTATCTTGATTGTACTATGAAGGTTTGTATTTATGCATAATTCATGACATTTATAATACAACTTGCCATAATCTTAACTATCTACTACTGTAAAGAGCATGAGTAATAACTAAGATGAAGTACTTCTTCTTTCTTCTTTCCTTTTATTTTTTTTAACCCAGTCTCCTTTCCATTCAGTGTTGACTGGTTATATCTTTTTTGCTGTTTGGTTTTATTATACATTTATTTATATTTTCAAATATTACTATGAACACTATAAAGTTGTAAAATACATTTTTCTACCTCAACCACAGAGGTAATTGTTCAGTCCCACATACATAAAATGAAATGGGACACTACTGTAGAATTCAGGGCAGATAAAAGCCAGTACTCCCAGAACTAGGAATCCCATATAAAAATATATTTTGTAAACATAAAGTGAGGAATCTGGTCTTAAGCAGGACACATTGGTCCTAAATATTATTCCCAGGGAAGGAACCATTTTGGTGAGACTGGCTCACAAATGTGCTCTGAAATTAAAAGAAGCAGTTAGAGAATTAAAGTCTGTTCTAAACACAGGGAACAGAACTGACATAGGGAGGTTCTTTCACTTACAGGGAGTCCTAATGTTCTCACTATTACTAAAGGTAACATTCTCTTGGCTTTTGAGAGAATTCCAAAAGTTTTTTTGAGAGAGAGTTTCACACATTTTGCTCAAAAACTTGTGAAGGAAATGATATAGAAATGGATACTTATAGAAAGATTTTCCTTTAATCAAAACCATGTAGCATTTTCAACGAGTAAGGCTGAACAACACACTGGACTTCTTTATCATTTCTTTCAGATATATGGATGTTCATTCTGGAAAAATAGAAAAAAGGATTGGGTGAGATTCACTGGAGAGTCACTTTTTCTTTCTAGATTTCACTGATAGGGCAGCTCTTGGAGGCCATTGTAATAGCAATGAATAGAAATAGTTTATTGATGAGCGAGGTGGAGAAGGCAGGCGAAATGAATCTCAGTCTATACTGTCATCAATGCTTCCTTCAACAACTACCCTGTATTCTGTCTGGCCCTGGCCTGATTCCTTCAGACTACTTCTGGCAGAAGCTCAGCACCCCAGTGCCCCATCTGGGATGCCTGTAATTCCTTCTGCTGCTAGAATCACAGTGGCAGGTGAATCCAGTTAAGTGCTGGGCACTGTGGTGGCCCATATCTCTTGGAGTTATGAACCTGTCTGTGCAACCAGCTTTTGTCTGAGTGCTGCTTAGACCCCATGAGCATGCCATCAGAACCTTAATATTCTTAAGAGTCCAGTTCCTCAAAAGGGATGGAGGCCAGACAGCCTGACTGATCAGGAATTTCCATCTATTAGTTTTTTTAAAAATTTTATTTTATTGGTACATTTTAGGTATACAATATAATGACATTCATCATTGGAAATTTACACCTTTACATAATCTCTCTTGGTTCTCATTTTTCCCCCTTCTCCTGCCTTCCCTTCAACCCCTAAATCACCCTACTTACAAAGACTTTGTATCCATTTTTTTCATTTTCTCATATTAATTCCATTCCCTTCTTTAATTTCCCCTACCCCTTCCACTTCCCCTTCCCCTTTGCCCCTTTTCTTCCTATTTCACATTATCTATTATACATTTTAGTCCTTATTTACATTTTCATTTTCTCAAACTAGAGAAACTATTTGGTATTTACACATGTGTGTCCTGTTTATTTCACTTAAGAGTATCACCTCAAATGTGCATCCACTTAGCTATAAATGTCTCTAATTTCTCATTTTTTATTGCTGAGTAGTTTTTCATTTTATAAAAAAACCCATATTTTCTTAATCGAGTTTCCAGTTGATGGGCATCTGGGCTGCTTCCAAGTTTCAGCTATCACAAACTGTGCCGCTATGAACATGGGTGCACATATATCACTGTAGTATGATTCTTTTAATTCTTTGGGGAAGATACCCAGCAGGGGAAGACCTGGGTCAAATGAGACTTCCAGTCCTAGTTCTTTGAAGTATCTCCATACTGATTTTCACAGTGGTTGCACAGTCTACACTCCCACCAGCAGTGGAGCAGGGTTCCTCTTTGGCCACAGATCGCTAGCATTTGTTACTGGTTGATTTCATGATAGCAGCCATTCTTGCTGGAGTGAAGTGGAATCTCAGTGTTGTTTTCATTTGCATCTCATGAATGACCAGTGATGTTGAGCATTTTTTCCTATGTTTATTTGCTATTTCTACTTCTTTGTCTGAGAAATGTCTGTTCATTTCAGATGCCCATTTTTGGATTGGGTCTTTAAA